ATCTATCTATCTATCTATCTATCTATCTATCTATCTATCTATCTATTTATCTATCTATAAAACAGTAATATATAGGAAGTAACCAAAGTATTAGCTGTTTTGCATTCATTTGGCACAAACAGTAGCAGATATGCATTGTCTATCCAGACTAGGATAAACTGTCCTTGCCTTGAACTAAAGTAATGAAAAACTGGAGAGCTGCATGCAGTCTGTATTCTAAATTAAGAAAAGGCTCTGTTCCTGCACAGTAGACTTACTTTCCCTGTAAACTATATCCATATATGCAGAATGAAGGCTATATGAATAATCTTCAAAAAATCAGAATCCATTCCCTAATTTATATATACATTTATATATTCTTCTTCTATCTCCAAAGCAAACTTTATTTGACCTTGGAATCAACTTGAAAGTAATAACTTAAGATTTTTCAGTTGAAGTTCATGCTGCTGTTAGATTATAGATTATTTTTAGGGAGGCACATAATTATACAGGGAGCGTAGCAAAGTCTTACTAAATGTTTTTTGTAGTTCCTTAGAATTCTTCAAATGACTTTCTGGAAACAATCTAGAAAAACATCAATGTTTTTATTAAAAAATAGTAGTAGGGACAACTATATTGTTATCTAAATTTTGTCAAAGCCTCCAGGAAGATTGTGTCCCTCTAGGCTCTGACTGTCTGCGCAAAAATCCCTTGCTGTCAAAAACGGAGGCTGGGAGGGATGTGGCCAGGGCTTCTTGCAAAGACTCCTAGAGAGAGATTGCAAGCCGAGCAGACCATTCTGCTCTCACCGCTCTGCTTTTGGAGCTCCAGGATACAAAGAAACCATGGCAGAGGGGAGACAGCTCACTAGATCTTTGCAAGTTAAGTGAGACCCGGCGTGGCAGGATGTGGGAGGGAAGCAATTGTGAGGAGCATGAGATATCTCAGTGGGCTGAGAAAATCCTTGAGTGGCCTATTTCATCACTAGGCCCCGCACGGCCATTCCCACACTGAGATACTTCGTGCCCTTAGCACATTCGATTAGAAAATGTGTGGGCAAAAGCAGGGAGTTTCCATGTTCATTTTACGTGATTCACTCCAACAAATCCTCGGGTTATAAATGTAATTGGCAGTCTCCATTACATTTGTAACTTGAGGATTACCTGTAATGTACATCCTTCAAAGCAAAGGAGTTCAACTTCTTGAATATCCTGTTTGTCTTTTCTACCTTTAGGAAACAGAATATTATTGATGAGTTAAAATTACTAGTATTATTAGCACTACTATAATTACTACTATTACTAATATTATTGAGATTAGCTATAACAACAGAATTTTGCAAGCCTGATTGTGCTGGATCTGCTCATTCTTCTTATACTTCAGTGACTCAGAAATGCATATACCTCAGCTGCTTCTCAAAGTTACGTCATTATTCTGGACTTTTAAAAAAGTGCTTCAGCCTCTTTGGCCTAGGTAATGGTTTCCATATATCTTCATCAAGGTCATATTCCTTACTTTCTACATAATGTCACTCAAACTATGACTGCATCTCAAATAACAGAATCTTGTAACACCAAGGAAGCCATTTACAATAACTCTGGCCAATATATTACTACAGCAGACATCAAGGAGCCAAAGTAGTGCTAGTATCAGAATACAGAAGGTATCACGCTAGGAGGCAAGGAGCATATGGTCTTTCACTGACTGATGTAAAATTGACAATGGTTAGCATTGGAAGGAAGATGCAGACTGAATGGAGAAATTCCCCCCATTCTGATCTCTAAGGGAAAAGAGGAAAGGTTAAAGAGGAAGGTGAATGGGCAGCTCACCTATTATGGGCAGGTGAGAACTCTGGATATTAAAGAAGTAATTTTCAGCTCATTCTTGTGGTCCTTTAGCCACAAAACATCATCCATAATTGATATCTTGTGTTCCTCACTACCCGTAACTTTTCTGAAAGATACTTTAGAGATGGTGAAGCCTTTTTACTTCCATTATAAAATCATAACCTACTAAACAGGTACAAACTCAAAAACTCTTTGTAAAGTGGAACTTTCTGAATAATACAATCTCATAGTATATGATCTTCTCAATCATATAATGTATAGTTGGTTACCATCACATATGATTTTTGGCCTATCAATCCATTAAAAATTAACAAAAAATAAAAGACATACGGCATTGGTATAATGAAAAAGACTTATAATCTATAGCATAAAAAGGCAAATGTATCATTAAATCTAATGACATGCTACATACTGTATGGTGTATATCAGAAACCTCAGAGATGTTTTCTGCAGTTTAATTATATGTACTATGTTTCTACAGTAGTAGTAAATTTTTACTGTATATGGTGCAAAAACATACAGTTGCTAAATCTTACCTCCCCAAAGGCACCTCGGCCAATCACCTTCAATATTTCAAAGTCATCTTTATGCAATCGCATCTGCTTCACCTTAGATGTGAAAGGCTTGCCTGAAAAACAGAAAATTATTGATCACTTTACATAATATAACTACTTATTAAAAGTGTTCACAATTTCAGGAATTGTTGGTATAACAAACTACGATAATTTATCCGCTGACCATAAATGGATTTGTTGACATGGCCATGATAAAACATTCTAAATGCATGTTTAAAATATTTTTAATTGTAACATTGTTTTTTACTAATGTTTGCAAGAAAAGTATTAACATTTTACAGACCTAAAAGACTTGCTTCAGCAATTTCACAATAGCGGAAGTCCTAATAATCACTTGCCTAAAAGTTGTATTCCTACCCAGTGTCATATATAAATAGCAAAAAGGGACTGAGTTAAAATATTCCCTTTTTTATCACTGCTAGTCTGAAAAACAAAAGCCTTCCACAGTTCTATTTTAAAGTTAAAAACAAAATAAAATTTGGATACATTATTCTAGATTTCGATATAATGCCAAAAATAAAGGAATGGTCCACAAGATATCACATAACACAACTTGTTGTGAACTGCAATACAAATTGCTTCAGCAGCAAATTTTCTTTTTTAGTCCATCTCATCTGTCATTTTAGAAATGTCATACAACTAAAAAATACAAAAATTCACCCTCTTAAAGTAAAGCGTTAAGATTACTGAAAATTGCCTTTAGATTCTTTTCAAGAGATAAAAAAATATTAAAAAGCTTGATTCCTGCTGATTACATAGGCAATACCATTTAATCAGAGAGCCAGTCTGGTCTAGTGGTTGAACATCAGGTTGGAAACTAGGAGACTGAGTTCTAGTCTCACCTGAGACATGAAAGGCAGCTGGGTGAATTTGAACCAAGTCATTCTCTCTCAAATTCACTTCACAGGGTTGTTGTTGTGGGGAATATGGGTGGAGGAAAGGGTATTAGTAATGCTCATCGCCTTATTTACAAAATAATAAGGGTGGGATAAAAAATAAATAAATAAAATTATTTTGGCAAGAATATGGAAATGGTTTGCCATTGACAGTTTCTGTCACTGCCATGGTGGCACAGTGGTCAGAATGCAGAACTGCAGGCTAACTCACTTCTCTCTCTAGGAGTTCAATTCTGAACGGCTCAAAGTTGACTCAGACCTCTATCCTTCTGAAGTCAATAAAATGAGGACCTAGATTGTTGGGGGCAATCTCTGTAAACTACTTAGAGAGGGCTTACAACTTGAAAAGGATGAGTGAGAGAGTAGAATCTTAGACCACCCACACAAAAAAGATCCAGGGAGGAAGTTCTCTTCCCCCAAACTAACACCCTCCGACTAGTCAACTGCTGGTCATCGTTATGCTGTTACCAATTATATTTTTTGACCCTGAGTCAGCCAAGTGAGGCTGCCAAGATTCTCTCTTAGTGTCTGGAAGCTTTGCGGGTTTGGATGAAGAGGAACTGTCTACAACTCAATCCCACCAACGCTGATTAGCCATCCAAATCTTTGGGTGGATATTTCATCTTGAACCTTGGATTGGGTAGTACTTCCCCCTTCAAGTTTGGCATGCAATTGCATTTGCTCTTGAAAAGCAAGTGTTAACTGTGGCTGGAAGCCCTTTTCATAATTTGATCTGGTGTACTAGTTGTGCCCTTTTCTAGATTGAGGAACTCTTTAGGCAATCACTCATATACATCCACAAGTGCAATGCATTCTATATGGGGCTGGCCAGAAGGTTTTAGTGATTCAGAATGCAGTGGCACAAGCAATAATGGGTATGTTTCAATTTGCTTACTCTACTTCATGAGCTGCACTAGCTGTCAGGTTCCTTCTGTGTGTGATTCAAGCTGCTGGTACTTACCTATAAAGCCCTACATAGCATAGGGCCAGGCTACTTGATGGATCACCCATCTTCCATAACATCTGCTCTGTCAATTTAATTCTGTGAGGTTAGTGTACTCCAGACTGCTTTGATTAAACAATGTAAAGGTAATCCTCCCCTTACAACCACAGTTGGGTCCGGAATCTTGGCTTTTAAGCAGAGCAGTTGTTAAACAAGATGTCACATGATTGCTTCACTCAACGAAAGCAATCCTGGATCTTGTTGTTAAGTGGAGTGCCAGGGACAGGACTTGGGTCTTTCAGAATAATGGTATTTGTTAGCATTTTCTCCTCCAGAGGAGAAAGCACTAGTGAAGCCAAGTGTTCTAAACTTCCCAGAATTATGGCATTCACTAGCATTTTTACCAGATTTGAGGTCTGTTCCTTCAGTCAGCAGGAGGATTTCCTTTGCCTGAACAGAGGAGAAGGAAAGTCTCTGAGCATGCTGGGAAAATGGACCCCAAATTTAATATTCCCTCAGCTTGCAACCTTCCTTGCGACATCCTCATTGACTTTCCACAGAAGCTGGCAGAGAAGATTGCAAATGGTGATCACCTGATTGCAAGGCACTTGGCAATCAATCATAAATGTGAGCAGGTTTCCAAGTGCCCAAAATGCAGTCATGTGACTGAGACTGCAGTGCAATGTTTTATGAGAGCTGGAAGTGTTTTATGGTCCATAAAACACCAGTTCTGAAGCATCATTGTTATGAACAGTTGTCCCAAAGGTGGAATTCATGATTAATTCAGCTATATAAAAGAAATCATTCTCCATGCCATTCTTCTCACTAACTGATAAACTTTTTGACTAACAATAAGGATATTTGGGGATAATTTCCAGAAAAATCCAATAAATACACTAGTCTGTTTTGGAAAATCAACAACTTTCATTAGAGCACATTAAAAAATGTACAAATATGCTTTTAAAGATTCCAGCCCATTTTTTTTCAGATTCAAGAAGTATTTTCAGCTTCAATGTATATTTATATATTTAATTTCAGGTATATTTTTATGTATTTATACTAACAAAATAAACAATAAAAGAAAGTGTATTTTTTCAAGAGGCAACCGGACTTTCTGGTTTTTCTTTGAAGACATTTCGCTTCTCATCCAAGAAGCTTCTTCAGCTCAGAGCTGAAAGAAAAGTCTTCAAAGAAAAATCAGAAAGTCCAGTTGCCTCTTGAAAAAAGCACCTTTGGGACAACCACGACCTGAATGACAGAATCTCCATAGATAAAAAGGAAGTGTAATGTAAAAGTGAAGAGTATAATGTAAGAACATACATAGTGATAGTCATAAATAGTAGCCACCTGTAAAGCAGTTAAGTCATGCTACAGACAGCTTGACACCAGAACATAACAAACTATAATCAATATAGTATTTTATTTCTATCAGTGTTGTCTACTACGATTATTAACTGTAGCCTTCTTAGCATTGTCCAAGAACCTGTTATCAGATCATAACTTCAGATGCCAGAGATTGATCCTGCTATTTTCTGCAAGAGAAGCCTGTTCCCTACTACTGACAATGCTTTAGCAGGGGTCTCCAACCTTGGCAACTTTAAGACTTGTGGACTTCAACTCCCAGAGTTCCTCAGCCAGCTTAGCTGAACTAGCTGAAAATGGATTCCAAAGGCACTTTAAAACTGGCTGTCAAAAATCTATCCAGCAAATGAGAAAAAAATGGTTTGCAGCAAGGGAAAATGGATAACATAATGTTATTTAAACCAATGCTACATAAATAAATAAAGCCACAATGTCCTTCTCAGTTTTATAGCTACTATTCTGTTTTTACTCCTTAGATACATTTTTCACATATTTTTTAGTCAAACAGAAAGTGCCAGCATCTGTATCTGAGTCTCAAAAGATCTGGTATTTCCTGAAAATACAAAGAGTAATCACAGATTTCTATTTTACAATGGTATAGAGACAAAAATGATATTCCTAATTATATACCAAAAAGTATGATTATAACTAGGAGAAATTTGGAAATCACTTTATTTCTAAATTTCAAAAAGGAATTCAAGATTTGTATTTAACATCACAAAAGCCCGAGGGCTATACTCCATGCTTATATAGCACTAACAAGACGGTCTGAATAAAAACTAACCCCATAAAATGATATTTAAAAACTAGATAAAGCTAAATATTTCCTCAAAATCCAGATAGTATTAAAGCGACATGACAACACATTTTCATATATACTTGTGCCAAACAGTGACGCTACATTTTCAGAATATAGCACCCTCTTTTTCTTACTATCTTCACCAGTGGTGAGATTCAAAATTTTTTACTACTGGTTCAGTGGGCATGGCTTGGTGGGTGTGGCAGTGGAAGGATACTCTAAAATCTCCAGTCAGAGGTGGTATTTGCCGGTTCTCTGAACTACTCAAAATTTCCGCTACCGGTTCTTCAGAACTGGTCAGAACCTGCTGAATACCACCTCTAATCTTCACACACATATGCGCACATATGTAAAGTAACATTCAAACTTTGTCATCAAATAGGAAAGAAAGAAATGCAATTTAAAATGCTAAATAATAATTCATTTTAAATGATGTTAAACCAAATTTTATAAACCAAATTTAACTTACAAAATATTTACTTATAAAAGACATTTTGTCTTTACTTTTTTTTCAAACTTTAACTTACTGCTAAAAATGTTTTCAAGCAACCTACAACACAGATTAGAGAGTACATTTTTTTAAATTTGGGGCCATGTGGGTCACACATTGTTCTTTATAACTTCAAGGGATAGGAACTGGCTAGACAAATTGAATCCTCCAAAATACAGCAGTTTTAAGGATATTATATTACAAAACCAGATATTAAAAAAATCATGCTCAAGTCTGAAGGAAGCCAATGTAAAGTTCTATAAGAGACAACTGATAAACTAAATTAAATTATACGATTCAATTAAGAAAAAAAATCCACTATACTTGGTAAGATAGAAAACAGTGAATTGGCATACTTCCAAAGTCTACTACTTGATGAAATTTTTGCAAAGAATATTGGACTGATTAATTGTTAGTCTGGATTAGCCATGTTGGGCTAGATCCAACAAGGCATTTACATTCATAAGCAAAAATGTACACTTGGGATTACTTAACAAATGAGTCAAGCATTAATATTTAAGAAATCTATCTGTAGTCTTGCTTTATAAATAAAATATGCATGA